GTGTGTGTGTGTGTGTGTGTGTGTGTGTGTGTGTGTGTGTGTGTGTGTGTCAAAGGTTCTTTGTGGGTTCGTGGCCCCCACTGTCTGGCCCAGGCTTATAAACTGCACGACAAACTAAACACATACGTTTGTTTGCCTCTGTGTCTCACAATAAGTCCACTGCGCTAGCCGTGGCCAGAAGGGGAGCCCAGGTGGGGATGATCTTCTTCCGTAGGAACTGCATGATCACCCTGGAGGTTCCCAGCAGGGAGAAGAGCTACACCTGGCTGCTGAGCTGGATCACAAAGCACGCCAGGCACACCCAGCACCTGAGCGTGGAGACCTCCTACCAGGCTCACGAGAGTGGACGAGTTCACACACAGTTTGACTTCCACCCGAGCCCTGGGAATCACATCATCTGGTCAGGAAACATCTCAAAATCCTCTTGTTTTATCTGGATACTAACAATCAGTTGTTTTTCTCTGTATTAAAAGCAGAACTTGTATCACAGAGATCCCATGTGGTCTTCAGGTATGGGAGGAAGTGGATCAGAGATAAGCAGATAGTTGATCTTCACACTGGAACTCCGTTGGAGTCTGTCACCTTCACTGCACTGGGCAGAGACAGACAAATCTTCTTTAATATCCTACAAGAAGGTGTATGTTCACAGTGTTCACACTGTGTGACTTTATTTAACAAACTAAGTCAAAATGCAAAAGCAGGACTCGAACTGTCAGACGCGGCTGTGGAGGGTTTATGGTTTGGCTTGTTTTAGGCTCTGTCAACGAGTCAAATGGGAAGCTGTTTGATTAAAACATGCTACATAATTTTTAGACCTCACAGGACCATTGTGTCCAGAAACTTAAAGGGACAAGGCGTTTCTCATATTTAAATTCCATATCATAATAAAGTAACTATGTCATCTTCAGTCGTTATTAATTAATAATAAATTAAATGTTGTTTATATGTTTAAATAGAAAATAAACTTGACTTCTCATCGTATCCGTTTCTAAACACCTTGAAAATGGCCTCTGTCTCTTTAAGAACCTCCTTCGGATCCTGCCACGCCCATTTCAGCACGTCATCACAGCCGCTTCTCTCTGCTGTTTACAAGCTGGAGCGTCGTAGCATGCTTTGTTGTACTAATGATAATTTAAAAAGCAGCAACATTATACAAGATCTGTACGCTTTATGCTGAAGAAGCTGAAAATGTTCTATAGCAAAACTGTTAGCGTGAGTTCAATTCAGACAGCTGACGTTTGATGAAAGTAGGAAAACAAAAGAGAGAAATCAGTTTAAAACAATAAAATTGTTTTTAAAAAGCTGAAATTTAGCTAAATTTAGTAAATATTAGCAAAACGTTCGTTGAAAGGCAGAAAATAGTTGAAACTACTAAGAAGTTGCAGGAAACAAAAAAGGTGAATTTAGAAAAAAACCTAAATTTAATATACAGTAGCTAAAGTTTAGACAATAGGGTTGGACATAATCGTATTGTGTGCAATTACTCGTCAGAAAAACATTAATCGATTACTTTTTGGCACTTGACAATTAATACGATTAACGCCACCAGGCAGAGTCCGCTCGGTGCTCCTCTCTGCTTCAGATATGATGAATGTAAAAAAAAAAAGTTCTGTAATTTATTTATCTATCAGCACAATTTATAATTTGATGTGTAGCCTGAAGTCTGTAATTTTGACACAATTTGGAACAGATTTTTACAAAGAGCAAATCTTTCCCGCCAAACTGGTCATGTGACCAGGACATAAGGGTGTCCAGGGACTCCAGGGGATTAATCGTCAAATTAATCGTTATCGGCTAAATACCATAATTAATCGGGATTAATTTTTTTTGCCAATATTGCCCAACCCTAGACAATAGAAGGTAAAACAAGCAGAAAAATGGCTGAACTGTGACCTTGACCTTTCATTTTGTGTCTTTGAAATTAATGAGAGTCATCATTGAAATTAGCTGACAGGTGGTGAAAGGAAAGTAAAAAAACTCACATTAGCAGAAAAAACAGGAAAAGAAGTATAAAAGTTACATTTAGTTGTAAAATAGCTAAAACAGCTGAAATTAGCAGAAAAAAACCCACTTAAAATAGCTAAAGGCTCTGTCACACTTGACAACTAATAAACATTTTTAAAGACATCTATGTTGAAGATGGAATTGAAAAAGTCAACAGGAAGTTTATTTTCGGCATATACTTAATGTAATACTAACAGATTAATCAAATACTGTGTATCACTTTTATTAGCAATTTAGACATAAAAAATGTTTCATGAGTTGGCATATGTTGTTTAGTGTGACAGGGCCTTAAAATAGCTGAAATAGGCACAAAAAACAAACAGAAAAGGCACGTTGGCTGAATTTAGCAGTAAAAAACTGAAACTTACAAAAATCTGAAATTTAATGAAAACATAAAAAGAAGCTGAAAATGCAAAATACAGCTAATTAACAGAAAGCAGCTGAAAGAAGCATAAAAAGCTTAAAATAGAAAGAAGCACAAAAAAGTAATGATTGCTAGAAAAAAGCTAAAATCAGCTAAATAGAAGCCAAAGGAAGCTGAAATTAGTACAAAAAGTAAAAAAAAAGCTGAATCAGTATAAAAGGTAAAAAGTGCAGTAAAGATTATAGAATAATTTATTTTCAGTGAGGAAAAAAGTGGCAGAAAAAGCTAAATATGTCAAACAGTAACAAAAGTCATAGCAGGAATGTTTTGATATATAAAATATGTGTGTGTGTGTGTGTGTGTGTGTGTGTGTGTGTGTGTGTGTGTGTGTGTGTGTGTGTGTGTGTG